GTGTGCAATCTGAGTGCTCTTATTTCCTCCCTTTATTCTGCTGTGATGTGCGCAACAATGACATCCATAATTACCCCACTGTGCGACAAATAAAGGATTATCTTATCTTATCTTATTTGCCGCCAACAGATCAGAAAATCAAACAGTTAAAACAGTGGGCATGTCGAGGCGGCAATTTCAATGGAGCAATGGGGGGAGTAACGGACTCTCTACATCAGGTGAATATTAATCTTAAACATGCATAAATGTTCTTTAAGAGTGCAAAAAACAAAAGAGCATCACTACAACATGATTTAAATAGATTTTTCGTCCTTCGTCTCCTTAAAGAATAAACATTATACATTATTTTTCGCAAATCCTATCCCTTTGCTACCACCAGACAGAGGTCTATACTTTGTTATGAAAATTAGAAAATTAGGAAAATACCAGCTGCAAACCCCAACATGTGATTGTAAAAAACATAATAAAAAATAATTAAAAAAAACTTATTCATGGGCAACATGGAAGAAAACTGTTCTGTGTGATGTCATATAGTTACAATGACATCATACTATTACAGCACGGAGACAGCTTTTAGAAAGTAGGGGCCAAATTACATGTTCGTACCAGACGTGGCTCTGATATTAGCGTGGGTGGATCTAAAATCAACTCCAGGTCTGTTTTTGATGAGGGAACAATTTTGTAACATGGTTAAATTGTCATAATATGGCTTTAATTAACGGGCGGGCGACAGTGGCTCAGTTGGTAGAGCCACCACGAGACCTACTTCACAACTCCCACTGATGTCTGCTGTCGTTGTGTCCATGGGCAAGACACTTAACCCCACTTTGACTGAAGCCCCCGCTGAAGGATCAAGGGTCCAGTGGACTCACCACCTGCAGGAGGATCAGTGAGGGGCTGGTGCTCTCTGAATTGGGTGCAGCTTTGACTACCCCCCCTGACCCAGAAATGGTTTGAGGGGAAGAAAATGAATGGACGTATGGCTTTAAATAACAAGTTTCTCCATGCATAGTGTTAAAGCCATGTCTTCCAAATGATTGAATAAGAGTAACTATTCAACAATTAGGTCCTTTCCTCATAAAAAGGACGCATTCTAACCATTTCAGAGGAAGAAAAACACAAAATGCACTTACCATTCATTAGCAACAAGAGTAGAATAATAATAATAATAATAATCTTTATTTGTATAGCACTTTTAAAAACAATGTTTACAAAGCGCTGCACAGTCAGCATGATAAACAATAAAAACAGTCATACAGTGACTGTTTTTAGTCAACCTCTCGTGCCTCTATGAGCACTACGTTTATTGGAGGTCACCTAACAATATGAATGAATAGAGAAAAATCTGCACAGCTATGTTGCTCCCATGTGTCTTTTAGTCACAGACCACTCTTGTAACGTTTCAGGCGATGGTAATATTTTGGGCGATAGCAACGTTTCGGGTTGAAAGCTTAAAGCCAGAAACATTAAGAAAAGACACTTCAAAGCAACATAGCTGTTGAGATTTTTCTCTATTGTTTAATATTTTGCACCTTTTTTGAATCCAGCACGCTAGTTCAGGCTACTGGGATGTGCAGCCTTATTTGGAACTCTCTTAGGTCACCTAATAATAATGCCATGAAATTAGCTGTAAAATCCCAGTCCATGTTGGAGACGTTTTCAAAGTTTTAATATTACATCCTTGGAGATTTCATCCAGTTTCTTTTCATTTCCGCAGAGAAAAATCAAGTATTTCACACATGTCGAGTACAAATGGAACAGCTGCACAATTCAAACAAGTTCTGGCAAAAACACTCACTGGGAATCGGGGAGGAACGTAAGCTGAATTTCAAGTCAGGTTTTGAAAACAGTTTGGAGCAATCTCTGACTGATATGACTGATGCAACACCCACCACGAATGAGGAAAGAGAATTATTTTAGCTGCAATTACTGTGGATTATGTTATGAGCGTTTTATGAGAGTAGGATGTTGAAAGTAATAACATTATATAGGATAAACTAATCCATACAGTGCCTTGAAAAGAATTTTCCCTATTGTAAAAATACAAAGGGTAAGTCATTCTTGGACATTCTTTTAAAAGAATGCAAGTTTCAGCTAAATACAATCCTCATTACAAATGGTAGAACACACTGATAACTAACTTCCAAAAAAGAAGAAAAACGCTCATCATGGGGTAAAAATAGTGATTTAAAAATAAAACTTTAATTTCAAACGTGTGAATGAAAAAAAAGCTGAACTCCAGCTATGACTGAGATTCTGGGAAGAAAAAATACATGTCTCATTCTGAAGATAAATCGATCTTCAAACTTCCAAAGGCAATCCATTGTTAGCCATTCGCATCTCAGGAAAACACAACAAACAAATAAAAAAAAGTAGTCAGTAAATGCATTCCCCCTCGGAGCAACTGTCTATAGCCAACATTTCTCAGCAGCAAGACTCTGTTGTGGTCAGCCATTTTCATTGATGCAAACCACTATATTTATTCTTTCAGGAGCCGTGATGTCAGTGCATACATGTGAAGTCCTGTGTAAGTCGGACATATTGATTCTCTTTTCTGCGCCCTAACAAAAGCACAATGAGCGCCACCCAGACTTAGGGATGCTTTGTCTGCATTAGTCCCATTGTTGGTGACTTGAAAAGATAGCAGGAGTCACAAAAGTGTTCTTGTTCCATAGAAGATCTTTGTCCCCAGAGATGGGCTTTGTTCCGACGGACTGTGAAAGGCAGTAGGCTTTGATCGGGCGCTAAGGTGTGGTGCTACAGGGGGACGTAGGCTGATATGGCATACAGGCCTATACATAGTTCCCACAGACCAATGAATGTCACATGACCTCCTCGGAGACGCCATCTTTGATGGCACGCTGCTGTGTTTGTGCATTCCATTAAACAGAAGAATGAGAATAAATGTAGATATTCAAACGCAAATTGGAAAAAAAGGGCAACTTTTGAGCAAATAATTGTATATTAATACAATGGCACCACAGTTTAACGTCCTACGGACATGTTTTACATATTTGATCAAATTATGCAGCAAAAATTAACAAGCAATGCAAACATTTCTCAAAAACTTTAGATTTAATACCAGTTGGAGCTCCATTTAATTATTTTAATTATATTAACAATTAATTTAATTAATGCTAATGCCACACGGACACTCTGGATTGCTGTTATTGTTTATTTCCGCGTTTTTGACCGTATGTTTTGGTGAATGGTGGGCAACTGATTTTTCCAGGCGTAAAGAGCAGTTTATTTTATGACACAGATCTTTTTACAGAAGCAATGCTGTTTGTGAACATTGTTTTAGCCCACCATAGAACTATTATTATCTATTTAATACATTTACGTTGCCCTCGACAGCCTCGGACGCGACACCGATCCTCCTCATAATAAAGTAATCTAAATAATGAAACTCTCAAGTTACCAGATATCAGCATACACAAGTTAGTACTGAGTAAATTACGTCTGTCAACACATTATAAGATACGATACGCACCTGACACAAAGTGCTCCGAGCATATTCTTGCGTGTTTTGAGGGAGTTTCTTGCCTGTTTATCTTCGCAAGCCATAACCTCCGTGGTTGTTCTGACAAAAGCTTAGTCTTCTCACATTCATGAAGTCTAATGATGGGTATACTGTAAAATCCAAGTTTAACGGAACCTCCGGCACGATTTGAACATCCATTGACCCAGCAGGAGATGACCATTTTCAACTTTATCACGACATTAACACGTTTCAGCTTCTTTTTCTATTGTTTTGCCCACAGAAGGCCAAGACAAATGGCGCCGGGTCGGCAAATCCCCGTATGTAGTGACGTCATGTGGGAACTATGTATACTCAAACATTTACTGACACTGCGTTAACATATAGGAGAGTGTAATCTAATCTAACATCTTGGAGAGTGTAATCTAATCTCATTTTGAAAACATCTGTCCTGTGATGCCTCAGAAGTTTGTTAAGAAAATATTAGTCAAAAAACAGCATTGTGAAGTAAAAAGAATGTACCAAAGATTGAGATGAGGAGAAGTGAAAAGCATTGTTAAGTTATACAATCATGTACCAAGCTCTGACCATCTCACTGAGCACTGTTCAATCCATCCCATCATCAGGAAAAAGAAGAGATTTAACTGAAAATCAACCAAGACAAGGCAGTCTGCCCAAACTAACAGGACAAGGACTACAATAATCAGAGATAGAGACAATTAAGACGCCTATGGTAACTTCAATTTAAATTCAATTCTGGTTATTTTTAATAGCCCTAAATCACAGTAACAGACGTCTCAGCACTTTACAAAGTTGTTTTTTCACAAAGAACCGATCAGAAAATCCAACCGTTCAAACTTGGGAGAGGCAAAAATAACAAACATATACCCATTGGCTCCTACATATTGGTATAAGTGTATGACTATTGAAAAAACAGCAATCTGAGTGATTCATGAGAAAATCAACAAATGTGTAGGTTGTGAAGCATTCTCCTTATTCTCTGACCATGTGAATAGAGTTTGACAGTTACAAACGTTAAACAATGATCCTAACCCTAAGATTTAATTTCATTTCATTTATTTCAAACCTGCAGGTGTATACAAACAGGAAAAACAAAATACAAGGTCTGCTTGGTTTGAAAGGGGGATGATGGAAGCTTACGCTTATTCAAGATGAATCCAGAATGAATCAAACATACAAAATAATAGTTGAATAGTAAGGTACAGTTTTCTAATATTGCTGGTAAACCGGTTTCATGAGATTTCAAAAAGTGTAGCTATAATAAAGAGTTAAAAACCACAAAATTGTAGTATGGCCGACTCTTGATAGTGTATACTGTGATGGGTCTGTGGAAAGCTCTTTTAAACTTTTTAGAATGTGAGAAAGTTTGAAAAAGATAGAAATGAGACCAATAGTTTGTCTAAGAATACATTTTCTGAAACAAATGTGGCTTTACTTATAAGCTTAGCATACAAATGTAGTTTAAGAGACATTGATGATTACTAAGTTCCAGCCTTACCTTCGTATTGCGGGTGCACGCGGGGCGGGTAGGGCACGTAGTTGATGAGCACTGGGATGTCGAGGCCTTGTCGTACCCACTCCACCACGACCGGAGAGTCAGAGAACAGAGCCGGGAGCGAGGGGGTTAGCACACACCGCAGCTCCACCGTGCCCCCGGCTTTACCCACCACCACCGGCTGGACACATGGCACCAGCCCTGGGAAACACAGTCCAGACAAATCAAAGAGACTTCACTTAAAGATGAAGTTTTAAAGCTGAGTTATTACATTTATGGTATGAAATACATGTTCAGGGGCGAGTTTGAAGAACATCCAACTTTTAGATATTTTGACCATGTTATAGTTGTTTTTCCTTGTCACATACATAAAGGAGTAATATGTAAAAAACTGGCCAAAAGTGGTACTGCAATCACGGTCAATAATCTGTAGTTCTCTCCCAGGTTGCCAGATATGCAGACGAATCCAGCTGGGGCCATAATAGCTGAATAGACAAGTTTAGACGAGTTAAGTCAACAACAATCACCTTTTTCACAAAGGCCTCGACCGAAATCCTTGTTTTTCTCTTTGTTCTGTCATTAATTATTTGAGAATAATAACGGGGTATTATTACCGCGGCCTGACATGTTTCTTTACCAGTGAGATTAGTTCGACGCGGTGAGTTCTGGCGACGGTGGAGGCCAGGACATCGAAATGAACACAATAACAAGATTTAGGGGCTTTAAATATAATTTCTAAATTTGCATATCTTGGTTGAACTACTCTTATCAGTTAAAGAAGCATTTGAAAAGCCCGAATTATTCATGCCTTTGGACATATTAGGGCCATTTAATGATGACTTGACATGAAAATCTTACATATTTCTTCTTTAAAGCGATTTTCATTTTAGTGAGGCATATCCTATAATTAACCAACTATTCAGGAGGAACTGTATTCAAATGTGAGCATAATTTTGTCAGATGTACTAAATATATAACAAGGTGCCACAGTGGGGAATCTGCAAAGTAGTATACTATCACTCAGTCCTTAGACAAGACACTTTACCCACATTAGAATAAGTATGGTGCCTGCGTGAATTGTTGGTGGTGGTGGGAGGGGCTGATGGCACTTGCTGGTTGCCTCGCTTCTGTCAATGTGCCCCACGGCAGCTGGGGCTATAGTAGTAGTTAACCACCACCGTGAATGGAGTGAATGAATAATGACATGAGAAGAGTCTTTGAGTGTCCAAAGAAGCCCTGTATAAAACAGATACATTAACATACTTACAGCAAAGCAAATAGAGAGCACAGAAGGTTTTCAGAGCCGATTTGGCGGACTCCATATCTATCAGTCACACAGCCCGTTGCATGTTCGATCTGGAAAACACACAATATTGTAACAGGCACATTAGTTCCCTCGTCCACCATCTGTGACACATTTCACGGCTGCAAAGGGCTGAGGCAGAGCAGCGTCTGTCATAACACCACCAAGAGCGCGATACCATTTTTATACAGCTTTCCCATAATTGGAATTCATCCCATATCATTACACAAATGGTCTAGAGCCGAATGCGCTGCCAGCAAACTCTGCGGCGCCCTGATCCTTTCTCAAAGCAAATGTCATAAATGTCACATAAATCGCTTCCGGAGTCACGTGTCGAGTGACATTTAAGTGTTTTATTTAAGGAGTGTCGATGAATGCACACGAAGCTCAAGGACGAGCAAAGCCAAGGATCAAACTAAAGCCTCAAGCCTAATGTATGCAACCATTAAAGACGACTGAGGCCATGGCTGAAGTATGACCTGTAATTGTATGTCTTGATGTTACCTGAAGACTGCTGATCATGAATCAAGCAGGTTCTGTGCCACTTGCATTAGTTACACATCAGTATTTTAACATATTTTCTATTTTAAAAACCCACGACAAATCATTTCAAGTTAGAAATTACTGTTCTAAACCAAGTTGTTGATCCCAATACCATTATAATAGGCAAAATACTATAAAAAGCACAACACCAACCAATAAGGTCAATGCAGCTCCATTCACCCTGCTCCTTTACTCTGCCGCTGATTTGACTTTATGTATTGTTCTCAATCCATGATGCAAAGTGGGGCGGCTGCGGCTGTAAAGTGCCAAACTGTTGTTGTGTCCTTATAGGCAAGACACTTCACCCACATTGCCTAGAATTAGTCTGGTGTGTGTGTGAATGGTTGGTGGTGGTCAGAGGGGCCTTGCTTCCTTCTGTGTGCCCCAGGGCAGCTGTGGCTACAGTAGTAATTTATCATCATCGTGTGTGGAGTGAAAGAGTAATAACATGTGAAGCGTCTTTGAGTGTCCAGAAAAGCACGATATAAAACCAATGCATTATCAGGCATCATCATCATCATCATCATTCTTTCCTTATCTATTTATGAGGCATCATATATATTCTACTTAAATCATACTGATCTTTTAAAAGGAAATTAACCATCTGTTTTAGTATCAGTAAAAATACTTGGCCAGATCATTACACAACCATGAAAACATTTACTTTAGCTAAGAGATACATACTGTGGCTGCTGTAGTCATGAGAGCAGGTCTTTAAGATGATGTCACTCCGGCACTTACCAAACGCTGCATGTGCTGACCACTGCAGCGGGCGCGTTTTCAATTAGGTTTGACCGTAAAACTAAAGAGCAGTGCATTAAAACATTTAACGGGGCCACAATTTTTCAGTCTGTCAGAGCGTAACTGCCGGGCACCTTTTTAGAAATTAAAATCCATTTTGTTCACAATAATAATTTATCAGCTCAAGAACAATTGGGCAGTTCCCTGAGCAGTTAAACAAAATTATGGAGACAAAAAACTTGGTCATCAATAGGTTTATGTTACTTTAATATAGTAATTTGTCTGCAGGAATCTTGACATAGATTCAGCGATAAATTCTGGTTGAATGACGGGACTAGCGTCAGACTCAAAACAGATTTAAGAGGCTTTACGTGAAGTGGTTTGAAAAAACACAATTCCTATCCCATGAACCTTTGATTTCATTATTTGTTACTAAATCTGTCCTTCAAATAAAAAACAATGTGGAACTAAAGCCACAAGAACCCAAGCGGAGGACACATTCAACACATAATAGCAAACTATCTGCATGAAACACCTGCCGGAGAAGAGAAACTGACTACTTATTGAAATGTGTTTTTTTTTTCAGATAAAAAAAAAAATGGAAATAGCTTTCACTTGCTCTTTGTCTTACACTTTGCATTGGTCTTTCACACAACAAAAAATGTGTTTGAAAAGTACATGGGGAAGGAATACTATTTCAAGCCGCTGAATATTCCATTTTTCAGTGCACTTTGAGTATCTTGCAGCGCTGGTTTAAACTGCAAACGGCATAAAACCCGACTAACTCGTGAGCACAATTGAAAAGTACAGACTGATATGATTAACACATGAGGATACTATACACCCACAAAGACAAACAGAGCAGGTCCGTCATAAAACTCACCTCTTCAGTCGGTAATAGGGTCATTCAATTCTCCCAGCCTCCTTTACAGCCCCCAATGTACGGCAATCCAACATTATTACACACTGATATACAGACTCATTTCACAACTATTCCATCTCCTTGTAAAGCATGTAGCAAGGCTGGTGTCAAAGTAATGCAATGCCATATAAATCGAAAAAGCATTCACAGCCCATGAACTTTTCCCACATTTTCACTTGTTACGATCACAAGCAAGGTGATACAGTACTTTATTTCATCTAAAAGACCAACACACACAGATACGACTATTGTGAAGTGAAAGCTAAAGGTGATTTTTTTTTTCTCCATATGTGACAAATATGAGGAGAACCATTTTGCATTCTTCAAGCAGAGATTTGAATAACTGTGGTGGATTTATTTCCATATTTCTTCTATGACAAATGCCAGATTCTGCAGTAAACAATCCCCTTCAGCTGGAGCAGTGACATCATTGTGAGGGTATACAGCGATTTCAGACTTATAACCCAGTGTCATAAACTTATCCACTGGCTCCGTGTGGATGAGAGCTGAATTAGACAAAATCATAGACCGTATAACAGTTTTTGTCTGGACATAGCCTTTTAGTCATGCACTGCACAAATCTGGTGTGCGGGAAGAGTCGAAAGAAATCAAAAGCCAGTGTTCAAAACAAAGCCGCATGAATCCCAGCGTGACACATCCCACATGTGGAAGTTGTTTTGAAAGCAAGGTATAAAACATATGAAAGATTTTTGAGCTTGTATTTTTCCCGCAATCAACTCTATTCAATTAATTCACAACAGTCTCAGAGGACAACGTTTTTTAAATTTGGCAACAATAGATCAGAGAATTAAACAGTGTGAACGCAATAAAAGTAATAATAACAAACACATTAAAGCTGACCCATGTCCATAAATGTTAACAAAGGTTCATAAATGTCCTTAAATGTTTGGGATCATCACTGACCAGACCTTCCTGCATCAAAAACCCTGTGGGAAAAAGTGAGAAACCTCCGGGAAGCCCACATCGAGAGAAGGATCCACTCCCACGGATGGACGGGCTGTAGACCCAGGACTCATCCAGGCTGCAGAGTTCTGTGTTGCAAGATGCAGTAAAAACAAGATGAATAGGAAGCACAGAAAAACAAGATAAAGCGCTCTTAAATATACTTTATTGAGAAGTCAAGGCGGTTGGCATTCTGAGCACACTTTGGTACTAACAGACTTGGGCCGTGTCTGCTCTCTCCACCATTACGCCTTTATGGGCTTTTTTATTTCACAGTGTGGGCAAAGTCCGGAGCCATACAAAACAATTACGTCGGCCATCAACATCTGCTGCGCCCTCCAATCCCCTCAGTAACTTCCTTCCTTAACACGCGCTCTCCTAAAAGTAAAAACCGAATATTTTCAGTGCCCTTCATGGTGTGGCATCATGCAAAGCAGCAGCCCTGAGTCAGAGCCAGGATTTGAATGAGGCTAAGAGCATTGGGAAGGCACACAGCAGATGAACTTATAAAGCAGGCTTTCAGGCAGCTACAGAGGATAGACTGATAAAATAGTGGGAGTAACCGAATACTAGTTAGAGAAGACATGAAACGTTTCTGTCTGCTATGCATGTCACACACGGATCCCCATCATATAACTTTGTAGACTTTGCATTTTAGTATCAACTCTTACCGCAACATTCTACTGTATAATTCCCCATTTTAATCCTTCGATCGAAAAAATTCCTGACAGCCCTAATCACCACCAAAATATATATCTGTTTTCACGGTGATCACTTTACCTCCTGACTAGTGACTACAGTGGTTCAAGTTAATGATAGGACGAGAAGGAATTAATCTGTTGCATGTTTTGAACAAACAGTCCTTGGCTAGAAGGAAGAGCAGTAAAATACGGGTGAGTCTGAAATGAATAAGCAATTTAAAAAAAGTATGTAAAACATGATAAAACATGGTGTGTATAACTTTCAGCCCTTTGACCACAGCTTCCCCATTCCCTCCAGTCAAAACACACCAATCCATCAGAAATATTTGCTTTGGACACTTATAAATACACAAAGCAACTCTAAGAGGTTTACAAAACAAATAAGGATGCATTAAAAGCCGAGGACAAATGGACAGAGGGTTAATGTTGCATGAACAAGCTCAAGCTCAAGTTTCTTTGGGTTTCAATTCGTTTGAGTTGTACAGATTTTCTTTCTTCCTTCTTGAATTTAGGTTGTTTTTGTCTTGCACCTGTGTGTGTGTGTGTGTGTGTGTGTGTGTTTGTTTTGTGTACGTGTGTGTGTGTGTGCGTGTGTGTGTCTTTGTTAGTGTTCTTTCCGAACAAATTTCAAAGCAAAAATAAATTAGACTCACATAATGTTTACTTTTGAAATAAAAAGTCCAAATAATTCAATTGTACACAAAGAAAGACATGTTGCTATATGTCTAGTGAAAGTGCTATATGAAAGTGACCAGTTTCTGGTCACTTTCTCAACCAGTCCAGATGGACTCGTTGCAACCACCTAGGGTCGAGGGCTGTCCTCGCCGCTTGCAGCTTTAACTCTCCCACGAGGGTGCACAGTGTACAAAATGGTTGTAACGTAAGAAAGAAAAGAAAAATGATCTGGCGAAGGCTATTATGGCTGAAAGTTTAATAAAGAAAATGTTCAGACTGCAAAGTTATTAGTGAGTCTTTTCATATCTATATAAAATCTCTTTCTCTTTCATGTTGGCTGAGAGGATAGCACTCTCGCTTCTCAGCAAGAAGGTCCTGGGTTCGAATCCCGGTCGGAACAGGGCCATTCTGAGTGGAGTTTCCATGTTCTCCCGGTGCCTGCGTAGGTTTCCCGGGGTACTCCGGTTTCCCCTA